GCAGCGGCAGCAGCAGCCGCAGCAGCAGCAGCAGCCGCAGCAGCCGCAGCAGCAGCAGCAGCAGCAGCAGCAGCAGCAGCCGAATCACTGCAGCAATTACCTACAGAGCTTTTGGCCTCGCAGCTAAAAAAGCTGCTGCTGGGATCGTCTCCTCCGCAGCTGGGATCGTCTCCCTGACGCGGCATTTCCGTTTGCGGCGGTAGCTGCTGCTGCTGCTGCTGCAGCAGCAGCTGCTGCTGCTGCTGCTGCAGCTGCTGCTGCTTGCTGCAGCTGCTGCTGCAGCAGCTGCTGCCGCTACAGACATACAGCGCGCAGCACAAGCAGCAGCTTCTGCTGTTGCTTGCGCGCTGTTGCGTGCTGCAGCTGCAGCTGCTGCTGCAGCTGCTGCTGCAGCTGCTGCTGCAGCTGCTGCTGCAGCTGCTGCTGCGTGCCTTTGTCTGTGTGTCTGCTTCGGTGTACGTACACCTGAACTTTTTTGCAAACGCGGCGATTTGTATTATTCTTTTTTATTTAAAAATGTAATTTAGGAATATCTTTTTAAAAGTACTTTTGTAATTCTTTCAATTAATTAAATAATTAATTTATTTATTTATGGAATGCAACAGAAAATGACTTTAAATTTGTTTTCTTAATCTCAAGTTCTCTCCAGGAGAAACAGATGCAGCGAATAAAAAAGCTAAACCCTAAACCCTAAACCCTAAACCCTAAACCCTAAACCCTGCGCCTGAAGCGTTTGCAGCAGCGGGAGAAAACAGCCAGCAAAACAGCAGCAGCAGCAGCAGCAGCAGCAGCAGCAGCAGACCCTTGAAGCCTTCTAGGGCCCCGAGAGTCCATATAAAAAGGGGCCCACGAGGGGCCCCCAGGGGCCCCCGAGGGGCCCCCAGGGGCCCCCCAGGGGCCCCCCAGGGGCCCCCCAGGGGCCCCCCAGGGGCCCCCCAGGGGCCCCCCGGGGGCCCCCCAGGGGGCCCCCAGGGGGCCCCCAGGGGCTCATGGGCCCCCTACGCCGGCCTATAAGGCATTCAAAATGAATAAATAAATAAATAAAATAAAAAAAATAAATAAATAGTAATATAAATAAAATAAATAAATAAATAAATAAATAAAATAATTAAATGCAAATTAATTGAATGTCTTCAGGGGCCCCTAGAGACAACTTTGAAATAAAAAAGTTAAAAATGTCTTTTTGTTTTTCTGCACTTATTCTTTTGCTGCGCAGCAGAGAGGCAGCTGCAGCAGGAGCGCTGCTGCTGCTGTTGCTGCTGCGTTGTTGCTGCTGCTTCCCTGCTGCTGCTGCGCTGCTGCTGCTGCTATCCTGCTGCTGCTGCTGTCCTGCTGCTCCTGCTGTTCTCCTGTTGCGGCTGCTCAGCTGCTGCTGCTGTCTTGCTGCTCCTGCTGCTGCTGCCGAGCTGCTGCTGTTGCTGCTGCCCTGCTGCTGCTGCTGCCCTCCCGCTGCTGCCGCGCTGCTGCTGCTGCTGCTGCCCTGCTGCTGCTGCTGCTGCCCTCCCGCTGCTGCCGTGCTGCTGCTGCTGCTGCCGTGCTGCTGCTGCCGTGCTGCTGCTGCTGCAGCAGCCCAGCGCAGCAGAAAATAAAATATTGGAAGAAGCATTTTGGGAATTAAATCAATTAGCTCCATTCTGAAGTGTCTGTACACCCGAAATCTTCCAGGCGGGTGCACCTTTGGGTCTTTTCTTTTATTTCTTTTTTTGAATTTCTTTTTTTGAATTCTTTTTTTTAATTAAAAAGCACATTTAATTGAATTATTTAATTCTTTTTAAGAAAGAGTTTATTTAATTGAATTCTGTTTTTTTTTTCCTTCAAAGAGCACTCTGACTGGAATTTTTTCGTTTTTTTGAATTTCGAAGGATCTTGGTCAATTTTTTTGCTTTTTTGAATATTTGAAGACCAAAAAGAATTCTTTTTGTGTTTTAAATGATTAAAATGGATTAATTTAATTCTTTTTTTGCTTTTGAGGCTTCAAAGGATACTTTTCTTGCAACTCGCGGACTTTGTGTTCGAAAGTGACCCCGAAGGGAAACCGCGGGAAGCGCTGTCCGTACACCTCGCGCTGCGCCACCCACTTCGTCATTTCGGCAACTTCTCCTTTTTTCATTTCTTCAACATTAATACCATTTAAACTCAAAAAACTAAACATTTTCGCGCGCGGTTCATACTTCGGGTTCAAACCCCGCACAAACTGGCTCCAAAACGACATCAGGGGGGCCCCCCCGCTGCAGCTCCTCTCCAGGGGGCCCCCGGGGGGTACTAGGGGGCCCCCCTCAGGGTCTCCGGGGCCCCCGGGGGCCCCTTTGGGGGCCCCCTCGGGGGCCCTCTGAGAGGCCCCTGAGCCACTAGCGCCCTTGCAGCCAGAGGGGGGCTGGGGGCCCCCCTGGGGGCCCCTGGGGGGCCCCCCTGGGGGCCCCTGGGGGGCCCCCGGAGAATAAGAACTGAACCCTCTGGATGTGGGGCCCCAAAGAGATTTTGCTGTGATTATAGAGAGGGGGGGCCCCCAAGCAAGGGGGCCCCCAAGTGAGGGGGCCCCCCTTGGGGGGCCCCTGGGTGGGGCCTCTGTTCTGGAGGGCCTCAGCCATCCTTTGTGGAGGTGCAGAAGCCGCATTAGCACTGGCTGCTGCTGCTGCTGCTGCTGCTGCTGCTGCTGCGCTGCTGTTGCTGGTAATGCTGCTGCTGCTGCTGCTGCTGATGTTGCTGCTGCTCTTCTCGCTGCTGCTGCTAGTGTCGTTGCTGCTGCGTTGGGGCCCCCAATAAAAGCCCAAGAGCAGCAGGGGGCTGCCTATGGCTGCAGCGCCGCTGCTGCTAGCGGCAGCAGCAGCAGCAGCAGCAGCAGCAGCAGCAGCAACAGCAGCAGCAGCTGCGGCGGCGGGAGGGAGAACACCAGCGGCCCTACCTCAAAGAATTAATTTCAAATTAAAATAAACAAAATATAATTATAATTTAAAACTCTAATAAAGGGTTTAGCAGCTTCAACTGCCAGCCGGGGGGCCCCCGGGGGGCCCCTACAGGGGGCCCCTACGGGGGGCCCCCCTGGGGGCCCCCAGGGGGCCCCTACAGAGCCCAAAAGGGGCCCCCACAGGAGGGTTTGGGGGCCCCCAGTAAGCGCAATTTAGGGTACAGCTTTTAATTTAAATTAAAATGTCTTTTACTTATTAAATTAAAAAGGTCTCGGGCCTAAACCCTAAACCCTAAACCCTAAACCCTAATTTCGCGGAGGCTGCGGGTGATATATAGCACGCAGAATCAGTGCTGATCCCCGGACGTGTTGCAGCCGTTGCGGAGAAGGGTTTAGGGTTTGGTTGAGGGTTTAGGGTTTGGCTGAGGGTTTAGGGTGGAGGGTTTAGGGTTTGGTTGAGGGTTTAGGGTTTGGATGAGGGTTTAGGGTTTGAATGAAGGGTTTAGAGTTTTGGTGGGAGTTAAATGTTTGAGTGAGGGTATAGGGTTTTTAGGGTTTAGGGTTTAGGCGAGGGTTTAGGGTTTAGCCAGGTTTAGGGTTTTGGCGAGATTTTAGGCCATAAGTAGCTGAGGGTTTAGAAGTAAAAACGTGTGGGGAATCTGGCCAAGGGTTTAGGGTTTAGGGTTTAGTTTGTGGAGGCTCGGGCCCAGCTGCGTTCAGCAGCAGCAGCCGCTGCTGCTACTGCAGCAGCTGCTGCAGCAGCAGCAGCTGCAGCAGCAGCAGCAGCTGCTGCAGCAGCAGCAGCTGCTGCTGCTGCTGCAGGAGCAGCAGCAACAGCAGCAGCAGCAGCAAGAACAGTAGCCACCGCTGCGCAAACCCTAGGCCTGTTTTCGGCAGTTGTTGGAGTGGAGGGTTTAGGGTTTGGGGCGGCGCAGCAGCTGCCCTAAACCCTAAACCCTAAACCCTCGACAAGACATTCCCTAAACCCTAAACCCTAAACCCTTGACAGCTTTCCGGCTGCAAACGGCCCAGCGTGGGCCACTAAACCCTCACTAGCTTCCCCAAGCCCTAAACCCTACCTAGCTCCTCCAAACCCTAAACCCTAAACCCTAAACCCTAGAGCCGCTCTCCCCCCAGTCTAGCCTACAGCTTCTGGGGCCCAATGTTCCCAAGTGGGGCCCCCAGACCTCATTTTGAGTTTCCTGGGGGCCCCCAGGGGGCCCCTCAAAGGGCCCCCATGGGGGCCCCCTAAAGGGCCCCCCAGGGGGCCCCTTAAAGGGCCCCCCAGGGGCCCCCCTAAAGGGCCCCCCAGGGGGCCCCTTAAAGGGCCCCCAGGGGCCCCCCTAGAGGGCCCCCTAGGGGGCCCCCTAGGGGCCCCTAGGGGGCCCCTAGGGGGCCCCACAATGGGAGCCCGTAAGGACCTGTTGGGGGCCCTTTACCAGGGGTACTCGCAGGGGCCCCTTGAGGGCCCTTTGGGGGCCCCTTGGGGGCCCTTTGGGGGCCCCTTGGGAGCCCCAAGGGGCCCCAAAAAAGGACCGAGGGGGCCCCCTGAGGGGCCCCAGACAGGGCACCAAAAATGAACCCACTGGGGCTTGAAGGGCCCCGCTGGGGGCCCCCAGAGGTACGGAGGGCCCCCCACCCCCACAGCAGCAGCAGCAGCAGCAGCAGCAGCAGCAGCAGCAGCAGGTTAGGCGGACTGGGGCCCCTTGAGGGCTTTGGCCTTGAGAGCAGCAGCAGCTTCTTGTGCTGCCTCGTGGGAATCTAGTGGAGACACAAACAAACCGCAAACCCTAAACCCTAAACCCTAAAAAACCCTAAACCCTAAACCCTAAACCCTACGCAGGCCTAAACCCTCAAGAATATTTCCCCTCTGCTGCATGCGCTGCGGCTCTTCGTGCTTGGCAAAGCTCGCAGCGAAACCCTAAACCCTAAACCCTAAGCCATAAACCCTAAACCCTAAACCCTAAGCCATAAACCCTAAACCCTAAGCCATAAACCCTAAACCCTTAGCCATAAACCCTAAACCCTTAGCCATAAACCCTAAACCCTAGGTCCTGACCGCTCTCAAGGGCTGCTGTAAGGGCCATGAGATCCTCCAAACCTTCAATGGACCCCTTGTTAGCACTTTGCTGCTGCTGCTGCTGCTGCTGCAGCAGAGCAGCAGCAGCAGCAAGAGCCCAGTCTTCTGCGGGGAACTCGAGGTACACCCCAGCGTGCTGCAGAGACACCACATGCACAGGCAGCTGCTGCTGCTGCTACTGCTGCTGCTGCTACTGCTGCTGCTCCAGCTGCTGCTGCTGCTGCTGCTGCTGCTTTTGCTACAGCTGCTGTTGCTGCTGCTGCTGCTGCTGCTGCTGCTGCTGCACGCTCACCTTGAGGAAAAACAGAGTAGCTACAGCATGACAAAACTTTCGGTGCTGCTGCAGCTCTGCTGCTGCTGCTGCTGCTGCTGACCAATTTGACCGCAGCTCCGAGAGCAGCTGCTTCGTCCGCCGCTTGTCCGGTGGCCGCAGCTGCAGCAGCAGCAGCAACAGCAGCAGCAGCAGCAACAGCAGCAGCAGCAATAGCAGCAGCAGTAGCAGCACCAGCAGCAGCACAGAGATAACGCTTCCTGCTGCACTAGCGCCATGGTCTCAAAGCCTAGGCCGTAAACCCTAAACCCTAAACCCTAAACCCTAGGCAAGTGACAGCAGCAAACTGTCTGTACACCTGAAGCACTGCTCACAAATACATGGCATTCATTTGCTGCTTCTTTTATATCTCCCCCCACACCTGCAGCATCGCGCTTTGCTGCTGCTGCTGCTGCTTGCTGCAGTGCAGCAGCACTGCTGCTGCCTTCTTCCCCACTTGCTGCCAGCCGTGACAGCAGCTGCTGCCGGTTGTTGCTGCTAGCCTCCACTTCTTCACCTGAGCAGCAGCAGCAGCAGCAGCAGCAGCAGCAGCAGCAGTAGCAGCAGCAGCAGCTGCAACAGCATGCGTTTCAAGCGTCGAACCCCTGCTGCGGCTGTCGGTGGCACAGCCACAGCAGCAAGCGAAGCAGCAACAGCAAGAGCAGCAGCAACAGCAAGAGCAGCAGCAGCAGCAGCAGCAGCAGCTGCTGCTGCTGCTGCTGCAAAAGCAGCAGCAGCAGCAAATTACCGTTGGCGTGTCTGAATGCTGTGACAATAAGTTTGTCGATGATTTCAAAGACGAGAGACTTGAAAAGATATGCTGCCAGCGGACTTGGCTTCTGCTGCTGCTGCTGCTGCTGCTGCTGCTGCTGCTGCTCCTACAAAGCCGCACAATGCAACAGCAGCAGCAACACCGGAGGCTAAAACATGTGGTAGCTGGTCTACTCCTGCTGCTGACTGGCTCTGCTGCTGCTGGTGCTGGCGTACGCTGCTGCTGCTGCTGCTGCTGCTGCTGCTGCTGCTGTTGCTGCTGCTGTTGCTGCTGCTGCCTGTTGCTGCTGCCTGCAAGCTCTCACCTCGAGAGCTTTCAAGCCGAGACACAGCAGCTCATATCGCTGCTGCAGCAGCTCTCCCTCGGCTGCTGCTTTTTGCTGCTGCTGCTGCAGCACGGAAGCTTGGCAAGCAGCAACTGCTGCAGCGAAGGCCTGCGGCGACACAGAAAAGCCCCCAGCAGCAGCAGCAGCAGCAGCAGCAGCAGCAGCAGCAGCAGCAGTTTGTCTTGAAAGCTAATATGTCGCTTTTGCCTCTTTTCGTGTTTCCGTCTTTTGTGTCTTTTCTTCTTTGGCCCAAACAATTCCCTCGCCTTCCTGAAGCCCCCCTCTTGCTGCTGCTGCTGCTGCTGCTGCTGTTGCTGCTGCTGCTGCTGCTGCACTGGCTGCCGCGTGTGGGGTGCATGCGTACCTTGGCCAGCCGAGGCTGCAGCAAGCCCCAAAAGGCTTCCTTTGCATGCGCTGGGATCGAGTCCCAAGAGGCGATCCCAGCAGCATCGATATCCTCCATCCCCACACCCGCATTCTGCTGCTGCTGCTGCTGCTGCTGCTGCTGCTGCTGCGTAGATGATGAAGCGGCCTTTTGCTTTCCCCCTGAGACGCCTCAGCAGCAACACATTCGAAGGCGTGGCCTTGTTGGCCGGTGCTGCAGCAAGAGGGGCAGCAGCAACGGCAACAGCAGCAGCAGCAGCAGCAGCAGCAGCAGCAGCAGCAGGAGGTGAACAGATACCTGAAGCTTTGCCGCTCCGTCCCTTTTTGCCTTTCCTTTTGCTGTCTTCCTCCCAGTCGCTATCCTGGACACAATCAGCAGCAGCAGCAGCAGCATGCAGCAGCAGCAGCAGCATGCAGCAGCAGCAGCAGCATGCAGCAGCAACAGAACTGCTGCTGCAGCACTGCAGCAGTCGAGCACTGCAGCAGCATCAGCAGCAGGAGCAAAATCTCACCGCAGCTGCCGCTGCCTTCGACGCTTGCTGCTGCTGCTGTTGCTGCTGCTGCTGCTGGCCAGCAGTGGGGCTCTTTGAGGCCCCAGCTTTTGCTGCTGCTGCAGCATCTGCTGCTGCTGCTGCCTTAGCAGTCACTAGGGGCCCCAGGGCCTCCTCGAGGCCCCTAAGAAAACCCTCAGACACTATGAGGCCCCCCTCTAAGATGTGGGCCAGGGGGGCCCCCCAGGGGCCCCCGCCCTCTTGGAGCTGCTTAGAGGGGACAGCAGCACAGCAGCAACTGCCTGCAGATCTGCTTCTGTCAGCAGCGGAGGCAGCAAAGAAGATAATTCGAGCCAAGAGTCTTCTGTTAGGGCCTCCTGCAGCAGCAGCAGCAGCAGCAGCAGCAGCAGCAGCAACGCAATGCGGGCCTCAATGTCCGCGCGCACGACAGACGCAGCAGCTGCTGCAGCAGCAGCTGCAGCGGCACTGCAGATGCAATGCCGCAGCAGCAGCAGCTGCTGCTGCTGCTGCTGCACCGGCAGCAACAGCCATAACGCGCGTCAGCACAGCACCGCCGAACAGCAGTAGCAGCAGCAGCAACAGCGGTGGCAGCAACAGCAGCAGGAGCAAAGGCAGCAACAGCAGCAGCAGCAACAGCAGCAGCAACAGCAGCAGCAGCGGCGTGCCTCGAGGGCTGCCTTGGGCGACAGCAGCAAAGTCTCTTTGATGAAAATGCTGCTGAGCTCTTTGCCTTGCTGCTGCTGCTTCCTAATAAAGCTTTTCCAGTCTGTCCCTAGGGTTTGCTGCAGCAGCAAATAAGAGACGAAGCCGTTGGCATCCCAGAAACCCTGCACCTGCAGCAGCAGCAGCAGCAGCAGCAGCAGCAGCAGCAAGCCACACAAGCACGCAGCTCACATGCATTCGCTCTGCTTCTAATGCTGCAGCAGCTGCTGCTAAGGAGCAAACTCTACTGCTGCAGCCACGCAGCGCCAGCAGGCAAAAGCTGCTTCCGCTGCTGCTGCTGTTGCTGCTGCTGCTGCTGTTGCTGCTGCTGCTGCTGCTGCACCTGAGCAAGCACTTTGCGCCTAAGGCCTCGTCCCCGCACCGCATGGCAGCCCCAACCAATGCAGTCGCAGCAGCAGCAGTAACAGCAGCAGCAGCAGCAACAACGACAGCAGCAGTAACAGCAGCAGCAGCAGCAGCAACAGCAGCAGCAGCAACAGCAGCAGCAGCAGCAGCAGCAGCAGCAGCACCTGTGCCGTTTGTGCTGCTGAGAAGATTCCTGGGGTGAAGACTTTGGCCTGAATGGCTCCAGCAACTTCGCCTTTGGCTATGAGCTCATTTGCTGCTTGAAGCAGATTTTCGCAAGGCAAGCTGCAGCACAAACCCTAAACCCTAAACCCTAAACCCTAAACCCTAAACCCTAGGGCCTGAAGGGGGGAGCAGCGGCGCTGGGAACTGGCCAGAATTAGGGGGAAGAATCGCAGCAGCAGCAAAAGGAGATAAAGCGCAGCAGCAACACTGAGCAGCACACACTGCAGGCAGCAAAGAGAAGCACGGGAGACGCAGCAGCAGCAGCAAGTGCTGCTGCTGCTGCTGCTGCAGGGGGATGCAGCAGCAGTGCAGCAGCAGCCGCGGCAGCAGCAGCAGAACTGATATGGCCTAAGCGTGGGCCGCATAGTGATGAGGTGCTGCAGCTGCAGCAGCGGACAGGCACCAGCAGCAGCAGCAGCAACAGCAACAGCAGCAACAACAGCAGCAGCAGCAGCAACAGCAGCAGCAGCAGCAGCAGCAGCAGCAGCAGTTATTACTTGAGGGCTTGTGCTGCATCAGCAAGAGACAAAGGGGAAAGGGCCCCCAGCAAAAGGCCTTTTGCTGCTGCAGCAACATGAGCAGCAAATGCTGCTGTTTGCAGCGAGTTGCCCTGCACAGAAACTGCGCTCAGCAGCAGCAGCAGCAGCAGCAGCAGCAGCAGCAGCAGCAGCAGCAGGAGGCGGGTGAGGCCTAGGAAAGCTGCAGCAGCAGCAAAAAGAAGAGGGGGAACTCCGCAGCAGCAGCAAAAGGCTGTGGGGCAGCAGCAAAGATGAAAAGGCCGGAAAAAGATGAAAAAAAAGCGAAAAAAGAAAATAAAAAAGAAATAAAAATAAAAAGAAATAAAAGAAATAAAAAGACCTTTTAGAGATGCAGGAAGCCTCGGGGGGATTTCTTGTTTTATAAAATTCAAAGGAAGAGAAAAGTTTTGGGAAATTGAAGACAGCAGCACGCGGCCTTTTTCCTGCAGCAAAAGGAACAGTTTTAGAATTTTTAAAACTCTTTTCAAACTTTTGAAACTTTTCAAAAGATTCTTCCCAACTTTTCGAGGGTTTTGAAAGGGTTTTACGAGGGTTTTACGAGGGTTTTAAAAGGGTTTTGAAAGGATTTTAAAAGGGTTTTGAAAGGGTTTTGAAAGGGTTTTGAAAGGGTTTTGAAAGGGTTTTGAAAGAGTGTTTTAAAAGGGTTTTGAAAGGGTTTTGAAAGGGTTTTGCGAGGGTTTTGAAAGGGTTTTGAAAGGGTTTAAAAAGGGTTTTAAAAGGGTTTTAAAAGGGTATTAAAAGGGTTTTAAAAGGGTTTTGAAAGGGTTTTGAAAGGGTTTTGAAAGGGTTTTGAAAGGGTTTTGAAAGGGTTTTAAAATGAGCTAAAATGGAGTTAAAGTGGAAACAAAAAAGACAATTCGAAAATAATTTAAAATTCAAAAAAGAGAATTTAAAAAGAAATAAGAGATAATTTAAAAAGAATTTTAAAAATTAAAAAAAGTCAAAAAGAATTTAAAAGAATTTAAAAAAGAATTTAAAAGAATTAAAAAGAATTTAAAATAATTTAAAAGAATTAAAAAAAAATAATTAAAAAGACAACTGAGAAAAGAAAAAGACAAAAAAGAGAATTAAAAAAACAATTTAAAACAATTTAAAATA